TATTGTAGGCTGACTCTGTTCACTGCCAGGAGTTTGATCCTGACTGGTTCAAGGTTGACTGTGCCTTCCATCCTTCTGAGGAGCCAGATTTAGGTGGGGAGGGCAATATGTTGACTCTATCAACCATTTAGAGAGGGCTGTCAAGCATTATGAAATGGTATATGTCTAAGTGCTAAGATGCATTCACCGCACCACCAACCTTCTCCTGCAGGTTCACAAATTTTCTGTTGTGCTGGCTTATAATGTATAAAGCACTACATTTGTTGATGCTTATAGATAGAAGGATATTAGCATAGTGCCCACTCCCCAACTTTCCCTAAAACTAATGCAATTGAGAATTCCAGAATTCATTCAGTCATGGTTATCATAGAAAAATGTATATTCAGATTTAAGGCTTCCGTATACACTGAATGCCAAACCTAATCAAATAAAAATTACCTTTTTTTAAAATTACCAAGGCTGTATTTCACAGATATCAACTTCTGATTCTGCTCCTGGGCAATTTCCATTATTTTGAAGAAAAATGTTGGGCATCACTGACAACTGTAGGCAAGCGCTTTTTCATGGAATTGTTAAATACTAGCTGTTAGGGCAAGGAGGACATGATTAAACCCTAAAACTGAAGATTACTGTGTATTTTCCTTATCCAGCTCCTGATGTAGATGATCAATTCAATTGACTTCCATTGTCATGCCTACGAAATAATCAGGATCCCCATTCTTGCCTCTTTACTTCCATTGATTCCACTGGGAAAATTCCAGAGGATTGCGATGTAGCCTTTATTGTGCTGATTTGCAAAAAAAGAGCATCCGATACCTGCCCGTTAACTATTGACCTATCAGCTTCTTAAGTGTAATAAGAAAGCTCTATTGAACCAGGTCATCCCCTGAAGAGGAGAATATGTAAACACAACAACAGATAGAGTGGATGGAGGGAGGAGTAGAAGGAAAGATAGGAAGGAGAGGATGCTCTTTTTTTGCAAATCAGCACAATAAAGGCTACATCGCAATCCTCTGGAATTT